AAGCGATCCTCCTGCCTCAGCCTCCTGAGTAGCTGGGATTACAGGCATGCGCCACCATGCCTGGCTAATTTTTTGTATATATATATATTAGTTGGCCAATTAATTTCTTTTCTATTTATAGTAGAGATGGGGTCTTGCTCTTGCTCAGGCTAGTTTCGAACTCCTGACCTCGAGCAATCCACCTGCCTCGGCCTCTCACCCCCACAGAGTGTAGGAGTTACAGTTCGTGACCACCGTGCCTGGCTGGTAATTTCCTTTAATGTACAAAATTATTTAATTTTGATGAAGTCTAGTTTATCTACTTTTTTCTTCAGTTGCTTGTGCTTTTGTACGATATCTAAGGAACCATTTCCAAATCCAAGGTCAAAAAGATTTACCCCTATGTTTTATTCTAAAATTGTATAGCTTTAGGTCTTAAATTTAGATCTTAAATCAATTTTAAGTTAATTTTGCATTGTACTTATTTTTATAATCGTCATTTATTAAAAGCAATTTTCTATTTATCATACTGATATTGAATTTCCTTCTCAGATATGTTTCTCTCAGTTAAGAAAAATGAGTCCAAATGAAGAAAAATATCAAATAAATAACAATACAGAAAGTACGGAGATATGGCAAAGATGGTGAGTAAAATTTGGGAATCCCTGCAGTCAGACCACGGCGAAGATGAGAACAGTTATCTAACAGTTATCTGTAGTCAGGGAAGGCTTCGTGGAAGAAGTAGGATTCTGCTATATTTTGAAGGCGGGGAAAGCCCCAGACCTGGAATCAAAAAATCCAAGACCCCCAGACCCTAAGGTTTCACAGTTGCTCTGTAACCTCAAACATATTATCTGACCTGTCTGAAGTCCTGTTTCCTCATGAGTCAAAAGAGGATGATAATACTGGCCTCTCAGAGGTACCAAGAGAAGCAAGTGTCTTAATATGTATGGAAGTACATTATAAACTGTAAAATGTTTAAACAATGTGAGTGAATACCAGGGCCTAGACCTAAGTTGGCTGGCATTTGAGCAAGACCTTGAAAGACAAGACTTGCCTAAGTAGAGAGCAGAAGAGGAAGTGCTCTAGAGGAGGTAGAGGGAGGCATGGCTCAGTTAATGGCCCAGTAGCAGGATGGTCCTTACTATGACAGGGGCGGGGTGGTGTGGTGTGGACTGTTTGGTACCATGTGAGAGGGGGAGAACCTTGTGCAGGGGGCAGAAAGGCTGGTTTTCCATAGGGCCAGGCCTTCTGGGATTTTGGACCTAACTGTTTTACAGGCACAATTGTAGGTTCTTTGTGTTATACCAGTGGTGGACTCAGGCTTCAAGTGTTTTGAAAGGTTACTGGGTTTGTTTATGTGTTTTAACTATGTGTGACAATATCATACTTCCCTCCTCTGTCTTCACCTCCTTTCCCAGCTTTAGGCTACAGGAGGGCACTTGTTCCCAGGGGTGATCTGGTATCTCTCCAAGTTGGTCCCTGTGTCCTGTGTGAGCAGGAAATCAGTCACATTTATTTTAAAGTGACTTGGACCAATTCAAACCTGAAAAGGAAATCAACAGGTTGTTTTAATCCCATAATCTCCATTCCCAATCTTATGCTCCAAATATTTACCATTTAAAAAGTATTTTTCAAAATTGGAAATCATTAAACAGGACAAAAGCTTATGAAGTCTCCCTCTTAACGGGGATCCTCAGTCCCTCCTCCCCAAAAGCAACTACTGTTCCCAGGCACTTAAGTTTCCCCCACAAATTAGTCAGAACATACCGAAAATTATCCATAGACTCACAGACTCCTATAGTCAGAGAATATCTCACCTGACCCTGTCATTTTGCAGATAAGGAAACTGAGGCCCAGAAAGGTGACTTGAGTTATTTCAGATCACATCTTGATGCAAATATTGGGTTACAAAATTATATACATATTTTTATGTTCCTATTTTAGTTAACATATACACATCTACTTAATATATACATTTATTTTATTTACCAAATTATATTAATATATTTTTTCTATAGCTTAAAGTTATTTTGACTTTTTAAAAATATAAAAATTCTGGCCGGGCGCGGTGGCTCACGCCTGTAATCCTAGTACTCTGAGAGGCTGAGGCGGGTGGATTGCTCGAGGTCAGGAGTTCGAAACCAGCCTGAGCAAGAGCAAGACCCCGTCTCTACTATAAATAAAAAGAAATTAATTGGCCAACTAATATATATAGAAAAAATCAGCCAGGCATGGTGGCACAGGCCTGTAGTCCCAGCTACTTGGGAGCCTAAGGCAGCAGGATTGCTTGAGCCCAGGAGTTTGAGGTTGCTATGAGCTAGGCTGACGCTATGGCACTCACTCTAGCCTGGGCAACAAAGCGAGACTCTGTCTCAAAAATAAATAAATAAGTAAATAGATAAATAAAAAATAAAAATTCCATAATTTCCCAAAGAAGCCCTCTATTGATAATGAGGCCCATGGAAGCATTCTGAAGGTGAACACAGCAGTGCTTTTAGGAAGATTCCAGATGGGCAGGGCAGGGGGGCTGGAGGCTGCAGTGATTCAGGAATAAGGGGCTGAGGCTACAGTGGCCTGAGGAGAGGAGTGAGGGACAGAAGCAGGGGGCAGAGTCAGTGGAGGAGTCACAGGCCTGAGGACCTACTGGTTAAGGGGGTGCAGATGAGGGTATCCCTTGGGGAGCAGGATGACTAGGTGCAGTGTAGGGCAATGCAGCTGGTGATCCGGGATGACTGCTGAGTGGGAAAGTCTGTTAGGAAAATGGAGAGAAAGAAGAAGAGGAAAGGGGGAGGGCTGGCCAGCTGACACCTAGGGATGCCGGAGTGGACCACACTGAGTGGGAGATTTTGAGGAAGAGAAGATAAGGGAGGGGACTTAGGTCTGAGCCTTAGGAAAGGCAGCAGTTAGGACACTTTGGGAGGCTAGAACGTAATGTGAGAAGGCTCAGGGAACCACTGGAGGTTCTTGAACAGAGGATCCTGGAATCCCTGTCTCAGAGGTGGAAATGACTTCCCAGGTCCTGGGGCCCAGTTCTTGTCCCACATTTGAGGACCACATTCCTGAAAAGCAGCCCTTAACACCCCCTGTGGGCATGCCTGTCCCAATCCTTCCCTGATGGCAGCCTCTGGCAGCCTCCCCTGCCTGCAGCCAGATAGCCCTCCTGGTGAGACGGCACCACAGGTGGGTGGACAGCACTAGCCCCTCCAGCTTCACTTGGTCTTTGCATCCCACGTCCCTAGAGTGTCCCCATCCATAGAGCAGAGGGTGGAGTGAATGATCATGGGCCCCTAAGTCCTCCCAGGTTAAACCTTCCCTGTGTTGTTTCAGGACATGGTTTTGAGACTCCTTGCTCTCAAAACCAGGCCGAGGGCTGTGAATTTTGACAAAGGAAGACCAAGGTGGACGTGGCTAGAGTTGGTCACCTCCTTTGGGAAAGGCAAGAATTTGTTCCCTTTCTCAAAGGAGGTGACCAAAGGGCATAGACATGCATTATCTCATTTAACTCTCCTGTCCCTTGGGAACCGAGGCTCATCCTCTTTCCAAAGAAAAGGAAACTGCATCTCCAAGAGTCAAAAGCAGTTGCCCAAGACCACCAGCCTATGAGGATGGTGCAGTGTTTGGACCAGGGTCTACCTCTGGGACCTCACTGTTATTGCAGCAGCCTGGGCCTTGGGGCATAAGGGCCTGTATTGAGGGGCCACATGGGAGACTGGTGAGCCATGACCAAGAAGAGCATGGCAGTGGGCTGTTCATCAGAGGCATGGAAGGGATCACCTTCATCCTTCCAAGAGCTCCCCTGCCAGGTGGTTACCCTCATGGCTGCTATGCCAGGTGACTACAGACAAGAGAACATCACATTGTTGCATACAGAGTACCCTTTGCCTCCATAGGAGCAGGACACCCAAACTGTCCCTGGAGAGTGGTTCAGCCCAAATGGAAATGCCCTTCCCTTCCCAACTTCTGGAGCAAGATAAGGGAGAAGATGGAGGGGTTGATAGCCTCACCCTTTGGTCCCAGACACACTTGAGCCAATCTGGGCAGCAGCATTGTGGTTAGGAGCCACAGTGACTCTGACGCCAGGGTGCCTGGGTTTAAATCCAGCTCTGCCACTAGTAAGATGTGTGCAAGTGACTTATGCTCTCTATCCTTGGGATATAGCAACATTGGTGTCATGAGTTGTGAAGGTTCAATAAGTGACTGCTTGCAAACTCTTGAAACAGTGCCTAGCACATAATAAGTACTCAATAAGTGTAACTATGTCAGAAGACATCACCCTCATATTAGTCCTCTGAACTGGGGGGAATATAGACTGAGGGGTGCAGAATCAATATCTGCAGTTAAATAGGTATGGGAACATTAACAGTGAAAGACCACCAATACTAATATAATAAAACCACCTCTAAGACTCAGGATGGAGCACATAGGTGTGATAAGGACTGTGATAAAAAGGAAAGTCAAAGTGCCCTGTGAAGAAAGAGGCCACTGCCCAGACAGTTTTGTTTATTTATTTGTTTGAGATAGAGTCTCACTCTGTCGCCCTGGGTAGAGTGCCGTGGTGTCAGCCTAGCTCACAGCAACCTCAAACTCCTGGACTCAAATGATCCTCCTGCCTCAGCCTCCCAATTAGCTGGGACTACAGGCATGTGCCACATGTCCAGCTAAATATATATATATATACATATATATATATATATATATTTTTTAGTTGTCCAGCTAATTTCTTCCTATTTTTAGTAGAGACAGGGTCTCGCTCTTGCTCAGACTGGTCTCAAACTCCTGAGCTCAAAAGATCCACCTGCCTCAGCCTCCCAGAGTGCTAGGATTACAGGTGTGAGCTACCAGGCCCAGACTATGGCCAGTTATTGACACGTGAAAATGGGGGTCATGTTGCCACATCTTTGCATTTTCCAAAGAGGCAGAAAATTCAAATTTTTATGTGAAATATACTGATTTTTAAGTATGGCAATTTATTCAGTTAAAAAAAAAAAGCAAACAGAAACTGTAGGCCAAACTAAGCTCTTCTGCAATCCTCTAGAGTGCAACTTCCCTATGGACTCGCTGCCCCAGGGCCAGGCCAGGCCAGGCTTTGGCAGCCCAGTCAAAAGCAGCACCAGCTGCATACTCCTTATTGTCACTGTCCCAGGCACTGGGGATACAGCGGCCAATACAAGAGCCAAGCCCCTGCCAGGCGGAACTGACGTTAGCCGTGTGTGCTGAGGCAGGTGCAGGTTGTGGAGGGAGGGAGAACTAAACACGTAAATATCCTGGCAGAGGCTGTGATAAATGGCAGGGCAGGGGTGCCAGGAGGGCCAAGACCCCAAGGCAAGAGTAAGGGATCCATGGGTTGGAGCCAGGGACAGCATGGAGATGTGCCTGGATGGGAGAGTGGGTGAAGGGAGCTGGCATAGGGAAGTGAGCAGGGGCAGGGCCTGGCTGGGCCTCTTCTCCTGGCGGCCACACCCTCTGACCCTCAGACATGAGCCCAAAGGAGGAGCTGCCTCCTCTTTAGCAATTTCTGACGTTTGTTGCCCCTTCCGCTGCTCCCTCACATCTCTTGCACACTCCCAGGACTCACTCCTCTGTGTAACACACACACAATATCAAACTTCTTGAGGGTAGGTAGCACATCTTATGCAACTCTGGGTTATCCCCACCTCTATGTTCACCATGGTGCTCTGGAATAATATAAAAATACAGTGTCAATGTGTCGAACTGAAAGAATGATGTGGCCTGAAGCACGTTACTTGCTTCTCATGCCTTGCCTTGGTTTCCTTGCCTGTAAAATGGGGATAATAAACAGTCCTGCCTCACCGGACTGTGTTGAGGAGAAAATGAGTTAAAGGCTGTGAAAACTGGGAGCCCAGGTAACCTGGACCTTGGGAGACCACCAGTGTTCCCGGGTTTTAGGGGTTTCTCTTGTTGTGAGCTGGGTGATCCCTGAGCTGCTGGGAAAGACTCTCTCCCTCCTAGGCCAGGGGAACCCCCACTGGGTTCCCTCCTGCCACCATGGACCTCAGGTTCCTCCTCTGAGGAGAGTTGTGGGGGGGGGCGGCTGGGAGCACAGACTGTCACAAATCCTTCCTGACAGTGCTTTTCCCCTCAGCCCAAACCCTTGTTGCCATGATTTATTTCATTTAAGCCATTTTTAGTCTGTAGGATAGTACCTCTCGGGGTCTTCCCTGTAAGCCCCTGCTCCCGCCCCAGAACCCAGAGCCCCATCCCAGGGTGAGTCCAAACAAAGGGGACCCCCCCAGGGGACCAGCAGCCGCCAAATCTGAGATAGGGCTTTCACCGCAGGGCTAGCTGAGCCCCTGCAATAAGGAGAGCGGCCAGAAACCCAGAGCCCCTCGCTGGCATGTGGGTTCTCCCAGATGACCATGTCGCCTGCCCGCTCCCACCTGAGACGGGGAAAGGGGCATCGTCTCAGCCTCCTCTCTGCTCCCACTGCTGTCCCCTTTTTTCCCAGGCTGTGGGAGGCAAAGGGTTAAATCCCATAGAGCTGATGCTCTGACTCCAGGCTAGAGGGGCCCGGGAAGCTGGGGTCACTTCCTGCTCCGTCCCAGTCACCCTGAACTGGTCCCCGGGTCCTCAGCCTGGAATCACCCCTTGAAAAGGACCCCAGAGTCCTCGACATCTAGCCCGCCCCCCGAGGCAGGGCACTTAAAGGGTTAAGTCCCCTGGGGCTGGATTCTGCCTTCCGGCTTTTCCCAGACCCCAGAGCCGTGAGTTGGGGACGCCTGGGTTCCCGGGGGGGTGGCCTGGAGGGCCCGGCACGGGCGCGGGGGAACAATGGGGCCCGGGAGGCGGCGGCCGGCGGCTGGGCCCGAGCCCCCCGCCCCCGCCCCGTCTGCCGGGCAGGGGTGGGGGCCGGGGCAGGGGGCCGCGCGGCCGGAGGATTCTGGGAAGAGCGCGAGGGTCTGGCCGTGGGGGAGGGGGAGGGCGTGAGCATTCTGGGAAGAGGGAATGCGCTCGGCGGGGCCGGGGGCCGGCGCTGGGAGCCGCAGTTCTGGAAGGAGCCGGGCGCCGGGGGAGAACCGGGAATCCTGGGTGCCAGGGGGACGGGAGGATGCCCAGGCTCTGGATTGGGAGCCGGAAAGAGGGTCGCTGCTCAGGTGGAGCAGAAGTCCAAGGTCTGGTCTGGAGCGGGCGCGGCGTAGGGAGCCAGGGGCGAGGGTGGCTGCATTCCAGCTGCCTCCATGTCAGGGTCACCCTGGGCCGCTCCCCACACCTCTCCCAGAGGCAGGCTCCTCCTTCCCTCCCTCCACAGTGGGGCCGTTGGGAGGTCTGAGGCTGGTGCTCTTAGCTCCAAGCACTTTTTGCCTCCTTCGGTCTCCATGTTGGCCTTGTCATTAACCCTTTCCCTTCTACTCTGGACCACCGAGTTTGAATTTTTCAATCAAGGTATATAAGCTCCTACCTGTCCTCAGCAAACAGGGTAGGGCACCCTTCCCAGCCTCCTCAGAACAGTCAGGCAACCCCCATGGTGGCAGAGGTTCCTGCATCCACCTCCCCAAAGACACTTATGGATAGGGGACGGGGATTCGCAGAGCCTAAGTAGCTGCAGATGTGAAGAAATTAATTTACTTCCTAAAATCTAACTTCTGTCCCTCCTACTGCTTTTCAGCAAAGTGCAACTGGCTCTTGCATCACCTTGGTCCCCTCCAAGCGGCCTCCTCACTAGTCCTTGCATGTCTCCCTTGCACTGCCCCCCCTGTGCGTACAGTGCCCATCCCACACAGCCACCCAAAGACCAGGCCCTAACCAGGGATTCTCTGGAGGGTCTAGATGTTATAGGATGTCCTCCTCCTCTTGTGGCCCGGTTCCATTATCCTGGAATCATTTCTGGAGTGACAGCTGGTTGTGTTTTATGGGGAGGCCACTCAGAACTCCTGTTCCTTTGCTGCCATCCTCTTGCAAACTGATGTCTAAAAGCATTGGACCAAAGAGGTTTTCCAGGAGCAAGGGGCATCTCATTCATTCAGTCATTCAACAGAATTTCTGGAACACCTATTATGTGCTAGGCACTGTCCTACGCTTGGGATACAGCCTCAACAAAACAGAACAAAAGGAGTAGAAGAAGAAGTCCCAGGGTGGGACTAATTGATAAAGGAGGGCTTCAGTGGGGACTACTGCTTCGAGTTCATGGATACAGATGGTCAGGCCCAGTCACAGGTCCAAACCCTCCCTTTTACAGCCAAGGAAACTTCTCGGTCCCAGGAATTTCTCCAACCTATTCTCACAGCCAGCAGGCCCGGAGCTTTCCTCATCACCTGTCTCCTGCCAGCCTCCCATGAGCATGAGTCTCACATGACTCCCAAGGTCACTGTGTGCTCTCAGAGACAGGGTCAAGCCAGACAAAGAACCATACATTTCTGGTCTTAGCTCCGCCACTTCTCAGCCTGTGACCTTGGAGAAGTCTCCCCAGGCATTGATTGACTCATCTGCAAAATGGACAACCTGATTTCTGGGTGTCCATTCCTGAGCTATGGGAGGACTGGGAGAGAGAAGGGGATACCCTGGCAGGCACTGTGGCAGCGGCAGGTGTTCTCCACACTCCACTCTCTTTTTCCTGTTTCCCTTTCCCCAGCTGCAGGAGCTCCTGAGGCTTTAAACTGCCCCTCCCCCACCTCTGGCCTGATCCTCTTTCTGTGTTTGGATAAAGGGAAAGTGCCCTAGTCCTTGTGGAGGGCCTCCCCCACCTCTGGGAAATTGGGATGGTTGCTTTTTTTTTAACCCCTTTAGTGTCCCAGGCATTCTCAGTTCTCTCTAGGGCACATAAGAGAAAAGTTTATTGGTCTCAATTAGCAGCTCCATTAAGGAGGAAAATTAGAGTCTTAATGAGCTTCCTCTGATGAGCAAAATAACAGGTTTCCCAGCCTCTGGGCATCAGAGGTGTGGGGTGAAAACCTCCCTCCCCTGTGGCTGTCAGATACCTCTCCAGCCCCCAGTCTGGGTTCAAAGGGTTAAGGGTGATGAGTTTTTAATTACACTCTTAAATTCACCTACTTGCTGAGTTGTGATCTTAAGGTCTGGAGCAGGAATCAGGCCTGCAGGGGAAGGGGGCCACAGTGAGAACCAGAAAGTGGGGTGAGAGGACACAGAAGGGCACATAAAGAGCAATGGGGGTGTGAGGTTCGTTGGAGTAAAGAAAAGTGCAAAATCAGCTCCCATTGTGTGCTCATCTCTCTCTTCTTCTCAGGGTCCCTGGAACTCTCTGCAGTCCTGAGCTCTGGGATGGAGCCTGAGGCTGTGCTGTGGGGCCCAGATTCACAGGGCCCTGAACAGAGCCCCAACGATGTTCACAGAGGTGAGGGGCACAAGAGGGACTGTGGTCCTGCCAAGATAGTGGCCCTGGTTCAGGGAGGGGCTCAGACTCTGGGGGAAACCCAGGGGAGGGAAGAGAGACCAGACCCCGTGTTCTGAAAGGAGATAGGGGCTGGAGACTCCCTTTCTCTCTGTAGGTGCCGAGAGTGGGAATGAAGAGGAGAGCCCTCAGCAGGAAAGTTCTGGGGAGGAGATCATCTTGGGAGATCCAGCTCAGAGTCCAGAATTCAAGGACCCTCCAGAGATGCCCCTGGAGAGATCTTCCCAGGATCCCTCAGGTCCCCAGGACTCCCCAACCCCACTAGGTCACTCCAGCCCCTTGGACCACCAGGCCCCTCTGGACCCCCCTGCCCCCGAGGTAGTCCCTGCTGCATCGGACTGGACCAAGGCCTGTGAGGCCAGTTGGCAGTGGGGGACCCTCACCACATGGAACAGTCCCCCTGTGGTCCCAGCCAATGAGCCCAGCCTGCGGGAGCTGGTGCAGGGCCGCCCATCTGGGGCGGAGAAGCCCTACATTTGCAACGAGTGCGGCAAGAGTTTCAGCCAGTGGTCCAAGCTGCTGCGGCACCAGCGCATCCACACGGGCGAGCGGCCCAACACCTGCTCCGAGTGCGGCAAGAGCTTCACGCAGAGCTCGCACCTGGTGCAGCACCAGCGCACGCACACGGGCGAGAAGCCCTACAAGTGCCCCGACTGCGGCAAGTGCTTCAGCTGGAGCTCCAATCTGGTGCAGCACCAGCGCACGCACACGGGCGAGAAGCCCTACAAGTGCACGGAGTGCGAGAAGGCCTTCACGCAGAGCACCAACCTCATCAAGCACCAGCGGTCCCACACGGGCGAGAAGCCCTACAAGTGTGGCGAGTGCCGCCGGGCTTTCTACCGCAGCTCGGACCTCATCCAGCACCAGGCCACCCACACGGGCGAGAAGCCCTACAAGTGCCCCGAGTGCGGCAAGCGCTTCGGCCAGAACCACAACCTCCTCAAGCACCAGAAGATCCACGCCGGCGAGAAGCCGTACCGCTGCACCGAGTGCGGCAAGAGCTTCATCCAGAGCTCGGAGCTGACCCAGCACCAGCGCACGCACACCGGCGAGAAGCCCTACGAGTGCCTCGAGTGCGGCAAGAGCTTTGGCCACAGCTCCACCCTCATCAAGCACCAGCGGACTCACCTGCGCGAGGACCCCTTCAAGTGCCCCGTGTGCGGCAAGACCTTCACCCTGAGTGCCACGCTGTTGCGGCACCAGCGAACGCACACTGGCGAGCGACCCTACAAGTGCCCCGAGTGTGGCAAGAGCTTCAGCGTCAGCTCCAACCTCATCAACCACCAGCGCATCCACCGCGGGGAGCGGCCCTACATCTGCGCCGACTGCGGCAAGAGCTTCATCATGAGCTCCACCCTCATCCGCCACCAGCGCATCCACACGGGCGAGAAGCCCTACAAGTGCTCCGACTGCGGCAAGAGCTTCATCCGCAGCTCCCACCTCATCCAGCACCGACGCACCCACACGGGCGAGAAGCCCTACAAGTGCCCCGAGTGCGGCAAGAGCTTCAGCCAGAGCTCAAACCTCATCACCCACGTGCGCACGCACATGGATGAGAACCTCTTTGTGTGCTCCGACTGTGGGAAGGCCTTCCTGGAGGCGCACGAGCTAGAGCAGCACCGGGTGATCCACGAGAGGGGGAAGACCCCGGCCCGAAGAGCTCAGGGCGATACCCTTCTGGGGCTTGGGGATCCCGCCCTCCTGACCCCGCCGCCTGGAGCCAAACCACACAAGTGTCTAGTCTGTGGCAAGGGCTTCAATGACGAGGGCATCTTCATGCAGCATCAGAGGATCCACATTGGAGAAAACCCCTACAAAAATGCAGACGGTCTCATGGCACACCCAGCCCCTAAACCTCCTCAGTTCCGACCCCCCAGGCTCCCTTTTGGAGGGAATTCCTACCCAGGTGCTGCGGAGGGCAGAGCCGATCCCCCAGGACAGCCCTTTAAAATGCCCGAGGGCCAGGAGAGCTTCAGCCAAAGGCTGGGGCTGCTCTCCTCCAAGTCCTACATTTGTTCCCACTGTGGAGAAAGCTTCCTGGATCGCTCTGTGCTCCTCCAACATCAGCTCACCCATGGCAACGAAAAGCCCTTTCTCTTTCCCGATTATAGGATTGGCCTAGGGGAAGGGGCAGGGCCCAGTCCCTTCCTAAGTGGGAAGCCCTTCAAATGTCCTGAATGCAAAAAAAGCTTTGGCCTCAGCTCTGAGCTGCTGCTGCACCAGAAAGTCCATGCAGGCGGGAAGAGCTCCCAGAAGAGCACGGAGCTGGGGAAGAGCTCTTCCGTCCTCCTGGAGCACCTCAGGAGCCCCCTGGGGGCCAGACCCTACAGCTGCTCCAATTGCGGGGCCTCCTTCCTTGATCGCCTGGCCCTCATTCGGCACCAAGAAACCCACACCCAAGAAAAGTCCCCCAGACCTGAGGATCCCCTTCCAGAGCCAGCCACCTTGTCCACAAGCCAGGAAGGTGAGGGAGAGGGCCCCGCCCCCACAGGGAGCAGCCCCCAAAGGCAAGGGGAAAGCCCCAAAGCCCTCTTGGAAGAAAAGCCCTATTTGTGCCCTGAGTGTGGAGATGGCTTCACAGAAGTCGCAGCCCTCCTGCTCCATAGGAGCTGCCACCCAGGTGTCTCCCTGTGAAATGGGTCTGGAGGCCAGAGGCCTCTCCCAAGAGGAACACTGGATCCCCAAAAATATTATGTGGGGACAGGAGGACAACCCTACCAGATTGTAGAGAAGTGGAAGATAAAGAACCCTGGGCAAAAATAGTGTTTTGACATCAGTGATGAGAAACCCTATAAAATTGTTGGTGGGAACCATTTGTAAGGCAGTAGAGAAAAACTGTTGGGTTAGAAACCCTATAAATATGTAGGAAAAAAAAAAGCCCTGTAAGTCTGTAGCAGAAAAACCCTATAAACCATAGTGGATAAAAGCCCTATTAATTGTAGGAAGAGGTCCCAATATGTCTCTAGACAACCCTGTAAAACTATATCAAATCCTTATCAAAATCCTATAGGGTTGAGGAAGTGCAGGCAATAGCGCAATGGCATTGACTTGGAGCAGTGACCCTCAGGTGTTGTAGCAAACGCCTGCTTTATGCTTGTTCCACAGTGTCCTCTCCCGTGGAGCGTGAGAGGGAGCCTCCCTCCCAGCAGCTTTGGACAGTTACACTGAGGACAATGCCCGGCCGGGGAGTAGCGTGGGAACTGGGCGGAAGTGGAAAAGGAAGAAAAAACAAAGAGGAGGAAAATAAATGTCGAGGAGCTCCCAAGCCCACACAGGAGCTAGTATCCAGGGACTAGGAGGAGAAAGGCCAACTCACTGCACCAGATTCCTTGGGGTAGGAGGCCAATCTTAGATGAATTGTGTGTGTTAGGGGGAGAGACCTGTGGAATCCCTTATCAAAAAGAACCCAATGATAGGGAATCGTCAAGCCTTCCTAAAGGCTTAAGTTTCAGGTGCATTAAAACTTTAAGTTTAAAAATACTGAGAAACCAACACAAAAATTAGAGGAAAGAGTGGGGGGATTTCTGTTAAAGGGCTTTGAGGGAAGCAAACCAAGGTGGAAAAACTGTTCACATGGAACCCAGCAAACTCCAGGCCAGTTTCCCCTGTTCCCGGGAGCTTGTTAAACTGCAAGTACAAGCAGATCCCAGTTTGGGCCGTCAGGGTTTTCCCGAGCCAGGCAGGACTGCTCTTTCCCCAGCCTAGCTGGAGACTAATTGCAAAGCCTCCAGGGATGGCGGGTGCCTCCTGCCACATTCTCAGGTCTCACTGTCAGGAGGTTTTTCCTGAAATCTAACTGCCACCAGTCTTGCTGCAGTGGCAGCCCATTTCCTCGAATTCTGTCCTCGGTGGAGAGGGAGAACCGCTGCTAGTCGACCTCCAAAGAATAAAACCCTCAGAGACTCAAGGCCTGTGTGCAGTTGTCCTTCCTAGACTTCTCTTCTCCAAGTCAGCATGAACCACATGTGGGTTCTCTGTGGCAACAAGGGACAGCAAGTCAACAGAATAGAAAGGCTTCATTAACCAACACCCTGATTTTAAACCCGAGCCCTTCATCTGAGCTGGTAGCAAGGCTGCCCGCAGGATAAGCCAACTCCAACTCGGTGGCGGGTGTCTACACACCCCACAGACTGGACCATAGGTTCCTGGAGAGTCCGTGAAGGCCTAACCACCCTCCTCACCCCAGTACCTGGAGCCGTCTGAGGTTGTGATGACACCACCCAATCTTGGCGTTGGGAAGGGGTGGACTCCACCCACTGGGCTCCTCTCTCTTCCTTAGCCAGAAACCTTCAGAGGGAAACAGAAGAATGAGAAATGCTCCCCTGCCAGGCCCACCTCCTCTCCTCACACACCACACAGTCACACACTTCCATAGACCCAGCCAGACCTGCTCACGTGACCGGATGTGTGGTAGGGGAGAGACTCTTGCCCTGTAGGATGGTAGAAGAGAGAGAACTCTTGAGAAACATATCCATAACAAGAATTCCGCTCCCCAACCCTGGAGACCCTTGCCAAAGGAGAGGACTCTGCTCAGTGCTGGGTCGCAAAGGAAGTGCTCACTGACCCCACAGTGACACCAGAAATGTGCTATCCTGGAGTCAGAGGACTGAGATGCCAGGTGAGGTGGCCCTTCAGGAGTTGAATCCCTGGAGAAGGGTGACCTGGATTCCTACAAAGCTCTGGAAGAGACCTCTAATTCCATGACCTAAAAGTTCAAAAGGTGAAAATCCTTCATCATTCATCTATCCTGTCCCCAAAGGGATGACCCTCAAATTTAAAAGGATCGAAATCTAGAACATTGTGGGAGAAAAAACATGGGCCTGCTGGGCATAGGGAGAAGGCGGGCCTCATGATTATGGGTTGAACCTTGGTCACATCTGCATCCAGCCCCGCCCCACCCAAGTGCCAGCTAGGACAGCGTTGCTCCGAGGGGAGAAGCTGCCTGCAGATCTCTGACAGAAATGTCAACAAAGGGGGTGTCCCTGTAAGACTGAGGAGATCAATCCTCAATCCCATGCAGATTCCCACCCCCTCTAAGATGGTAGCAGAAAGAAACTTACATTGTAGAGACAAACCCTTTGTAAAGCTAGAAGCAGATTCTCCCAGAAACGGGTCTGAGGAATCTGCCTGCAGAAGAGTCCTGGGAGCAGCTTGTGGGGCTCCAAAGCCAGCCTTGGGGGAGGTGGCGAGTGTAGTTGGAGGTCAGCTGTAGGCCCGCTGAGGACTAGGGTGTAGCAGACGTAGTAGGATGCTCGCATGTTGTAGGGACGTGAGGGCTCGGCCTTGGCTTGGGCACTGAGTGACCTGGACATGACTTGTGGGGTCTGGCGTTTCACAGCAGGGAAGGGGCACAGTCAGCAACCTCTGGGGTGTGGCCTTGTTCTGCTGCCCACCTTCCCCAACTCCTTTACCCAGGTGCTTCCCTCCCAGACTGAGGTCCATCTTGGGAGGAACACAGCAGGGAGGTGGCAGCATCCAGAGTCCCTCTTACTGGCTCAGGCACATGCCCAGGGGTCAAGGCATTTGCCCACTAGAATGCAGTCTGGAAGGCACAGTGTAGCCAAACCCTCTATCCAACTCCAGGCCCAGACCCCTCAGCAGTGCCTGGTGAAGGAGCCTGACAGTCAGGGCGTCGGGCGTCACCCGTGAGAGCAGAAACTGATCTGGGTTGAGGGTGAAACCTGAAGCTGCCGTGGCTGTGGAGGTCAGATGGGAACTGGGAAGAACTGGGCATGAATTCTGAATGGTGGGGAAATGCGAAACCATCACAACCAAAATGCGGGTTCCATGACACCGCCCTGAGGTGAGCAGTCCCAGACTCCTTTGCCTCCAGTAGGGAAGCCCCACTCACCTGACTGGTCCCCGCGAAGAGAGGCCCCACTTTTGAGTGTTGTGTGTCAATAACAGTGTTGTGTCACTGGTGGTCATGTTGATTAGTTGAAGAGAATAAAGGGAATACGATTTCCCGCGTGTTTTTTGTCTTTTCTCTTCCAGCCTACCACAAGCTGAAGCCGCTTGTCCTCTCCCAGAGCCAGGGCTCATGAGTGACTGCAAAAGCTCAGCCCAGCCCCAGGCTCACCCTTTTCTCAGGGGCCCTAAAGTCCCTGTCCAGTACTTGCTGGTAGGATTTAGGAGGTTTTAAAACCCACGCTCCAGGGATGGGGGGAAATCTGATGAGATGGTGGCAGAGCCAAGTAGCTGGCCAGTGTCTGGCTTCCACACCGGCACAACGTGCTGACTGCTGAGTGGCTACCTGGTGACTCTGGCACTGGCCAGCTCAGGCACAGCTGTGCGGCCCCAGGGAGGCCTCTCTAGCCAGGACACCCACACCCTCCCCAGGTTGCCAAAGAGGAAAGCTCGTGGATCTAGTTTCAGAAGCTGGCAGCCACCTCTCCCAGTTCACTTGGATCCTGGGCCAGGCTCAGCCCCTTCTTTTTTTTTTTTTTTTTTTGAGACAGAGTCTCGCTTTGTTGCCCAGGCTAGAGTGAGTGCCGTGGCGTCAGCCTAGCTCAGAGCAACCTCAAACTCCTGGGCTCAAGCAATCCTGCTGCCTCAGCCTCCCGAGTAGCTGGGACTACAGGCATGCGCCACCATGCCCGGCTAATTTTTTGTATATATATTAGTTGACTAATTAATTTCTTTCTATTTATAGTAGAGACAGGGTCTCCCTCTTGCTCAGGCTGATTTCAAACTCCTGACCTTGAGCAATCCGCCCTCCTAGGCCTCCCAAAGTGCTAGGATTACAGGCGTGACCCACTGCACCTGGCCGCAGCCCCTTCTCTGTACCAGGGCCTCCTACACCCTGAGGAGAGATGGGTGGAGACCTGGCCTGTCATCTCACTCAGGAAGTCAGCCCATAGGCCCACATCGTGTGGAGAGGCTCAGAGAAGGACAGCTACTTGCCTGAGAGCCACAGCAAGTTGGCAAGGGAAACCAGAATGGCCAGGAGCTCGAGCCTTTCCTCCCCGGGCCTGCCTGGGCCTGGCCATCTCCATACTGTGCCAGTCAGGGCTGCTCCAAGGAATCGTGACTGCCAGGCCTGCCAGTGCTGTATCTTCTGGGACTAGGCCTGGCCGTGGGCCCTGAGCAGCTGCCCTGAGGTCAGCACTTACTCTAGCCTGTCACCGGCCTCTGCCGCTGTCTGCTGGGGGAATCCTGCCCCAGCCAGGAAGGTGTCCCCACCTTTCCTGTGCTTCTCTCAGACAGACCCCAGGGCAGGCTCACTGTCTCCTTCCCTTTCCTCACCTGGAAAAGGAGCACAAATGTGAGGAGGGTCTTGCCTTTCATGGAGAGGTGAGTAATGAAGGCTACTCCACATTCCCTATGTTCCCAGCCCTGGGGACACTGAGGTGGTTTAGAACTAGTCCCAGTGCTGTAGCAGTCCTCAGTAAAATGAGGGGACTACAGGGACAAAGCAAGCACTGGAGCATAGTGATTGGTCCAGAGACTTAACAGAGGGCCGTGGACCCAGAGATAGTGCCTGGCCACAGCAGAGGCTGGGAAGCTTGCTGGAGGAAGTGACCTGAGGGATGAGGGTTGCAGGAGCAGGGAAGAGTGTATAGGGGCCAGGAGTGCGATGGGGGACAGAGGGTGTTTAACAGTTGGATATGGGCTTAGAGAACAGAGGGGACTGAGAGAAAATAAAGGTAGAGGCCAGGTGCAGTGGCTCACACCTGTAATCCTAGCACTCTGGGAGGCTGAGGCAGGGGGATCACTCAAGGTCAGGAGTTCGAAACCAGCCTGAGCAAGAGCGAGACTCTGTCTCTACTAAAAATAGAAAGAAATTAATTGGCCAACTAAAAATATATAGAAACAATTAGCTGGGCATGGTGGCGCATGCCTGTAGTCCCAGCTACTCGGGAGGCTGAGGCAGGAGGATTGCTTGAGCCCAGGAGTTTGAGGCTGCTGTGAGCTAGGCTGATGCCATGGCACTCTAGCCCGGGCAACAGAGTGAGACTCTGTCTCAAAAGAAAGAAAAAGAAAATAAAGGTAGAGAGACTGGAGTGTGGAGCATCTTGAGCTGGGAAAACAGGTGCCATTGGGGGATTTTTTAACAGTGACATGATTTTCTGATCCTCCTCCCCTCCCTGGGAATGAATAGTGCTGATTTTCCAGGTCTGGAGCTCGTAAAAGAGAACTGGACTAGAGAAATTGGGTCTTAGCAGCTTAGTTATAGCCATGGCCATGAATAAAAACTCCCAGGGAGAGTGACAAAGTAAAGAGAGGGCCTAACTTAGGGGTGGTGGAAGAGGACCAGCAAAAGATAGCATGAGAAAAACCAGGAGAGTGTAGCATCACAAGACCTAAGGGAAGTTTTGAGAAGATCATAGTCAATGTTATGTGCTCCATTGGCAGTAGCCCTGGTTCTGGCTGAAACAGGCAATGTCCACCATTGATACCAACATCTGTTCACCTCAAAGAAGCTGGCCAAGGTCAAGGCTGGCCCAGGGTACCACTGCCACTAAAATCACTGGGATTACTAGGGCTAATAAGAGGTCAAATTTCCTGGTGGAGGGACCTGACCAGCCATTAAGGCAGACCCTCGGAGCACCCACAGGCTCATGGGAAACCAACCCTTCAGTCTCCTCTGTTCCTGCCGCCTTATCAGTGCTTGCATAGATTACTAAGATCTTGGAAGTTTTATCCCATTTCCTTGGGACTGAGCTTGAGAAAGTGGTTTGATGCCTGCTTTACTATTAGGTATGAGGACTCACGGACTTTAGCCCCTCTGACATGGAGACCGGCCTTTACAGAAGATATCTAGGGAGGTGATGGACAGTTACTTGCATTTACTTAAGGAGCCTGTGCGAAGGTGATTCCCGGGAAAGAGGATCGTGCTCACAGAGGATTGGCTGACCTCCACCCGTGTCTTGGGTCACAGCGCTCCTCTGAGACTCATCCGCTCCAGGGGCGCAGGTGGCCGCATCTCTATGATGCAATATCCTGCGTTTTTCCCACCCTTGGCACCACCGCCTCCCAGCCGCAGACACTTCCTTGGCGGCCCGATGTCATCTCCTGCCGCGGCCCGTGCTTCAGTGAGCGCGCCCACCACCGCCAGTCCTGTTCCCGAGGTCACAGCCCGAGTATCCGTTTCCAGTCCGATCAGGTCCAGCTGCTGCGGCCCCGCCGAAACCCCGGCCGCCAGGTGGGGCCCCAAAGCGGACAAAGCCGCTAGTCCCCGCGAAGGTGCGACCGCTGACAAGGCTGCGGGGCCCCGCAAAGGCATGACTGCTGACAAGCCCGCGGCCTCTACCATGGCCCTGACACCTCCTGTGGCACCAACCTCGGTCAGCACCGGCTGTGGCACCAGCCCCAGTACGGCCTCGGTGACAGATCCGTCTGAAGTGCCGGCAGCGTACTGAACTGAGACCACGCCCGGCACGCGGCATACGGTTCTGAGGACCCGGTCAGCGGCTGAAGCAGGTTGCAATGAAGGAAGTTACCCCGCTGAGGTGTCCTGATCTATGCGTCCTAGGGGTAGGGGCGGGTAAAGCCGTAGTGGAACGGCCCGCGGGATTGGGTTCAGGCCCACCTTTGCCCAACACAACGGGGGACCAGTTCTCCCCTCCGTGAACCTTCTCGCCATGTGCTAACAAGGGACTACATTTCCCAGGACGCAGCTCGAGACGTCCCAGCATCCCAAGGGCCAATGACTGTCGGGGGTGTGGCTAGCACAGACCAAGGGGGCCGCCAGTCCGTCCGAGCCGGAGAAGCGTAGGTAGGCTCCAGAGTTGACCACCACGCTCTCTCTGCAGACGTGCTCCCCCCACAGGCCCAGTCTAGGCCGTTAGGTCTAAGCATAACTTAGCCTTTTGGGTAGGCAGGAATGGGGGATCATATATGCTTGGCTCACACCAAGCCAGGGACGTGCGGGGCAGGCCTAGCAGCTGAAAACCTGGGACTATGATTGGGGCATGAAGCCTGGCTACTCTGGCCATAGGCCAAGGGTTGGATGTTTGTTTATTCATAACAATTAACAGCCTATACAAGAGATCTCTAGAGCAGAGGCTGTGGGTCCAAACAGGCCCTTGCACCTGTCAGCAGCTCCATCTCCCAGGCCTCTCTGGGCGTTGCCTTCACAGCCCATGGAGCATTTGTGGGCAGGCAGCACAGGAAGCATCAAGGGTACAGGCTCAGTCACAGGGTGTTGGGTGAAGCTCTTCTACCTGGAATGATTGGAAGTTGGCCCAGCAGCTGGGGCTGGTCTGTCCCTTCCCCTCCTGGGAAGTTCCACCTCCACAGTAGTTAAGGCCACCAGGATGATAGCAGGGTTAGGGCCAAGGACTTAGTGGAGCCTTGGGATGCATGAGGTGGAGGTAAGTGGGCTTGGGGAAGAGGAAGAGATTCAGGAGGGGCCTGATTAGAATAGAAACTGATGATCTTGGTTCAGCATTCCCAAGATGAGGGCAGCAACTGCAACCTTAAGAGCTTCCCAGAGGAAGCAGGTGGTACCTTCCCAGATGGGTACCTCCTTCAGCCCTTGGCACAAAAGCCAAAGTGTCCAGGGAACTCCACAGGACAGAAGCCCTGCCTGTGCCAGCAGGGTGGTGGCTGAAGAAAATCTCCCCAGGGCCCAGTCTCAAGCAAGGTGCTGAGGTCCTGGACCACCCGTCCTCACTTGTGTGAAGGCAGGTAGTGAGCCTCCTCTAAGGTAGGTCACAGCCTGGGGAATTTTCCCCTTACAGCTAGGATGGGTCTGTGGAAACAGATGAAGAAAGGTTAGGGCCAGCCTCTGGGAAGCTCAGTTGAGTGCTCTGGGCCCCTCAGGCCTCTCATGGCAGACCTTTCCTGTAGAACGGTGCCCTCTAGGCTGCAGCTCAGATCTTTAGGAAAAGATGGAACTGAGCTTGGCTAATCCCACTCCCACTAGCATGCACCAGGGCTCCCAAACCAACTAGGTGGGCAAGGGCTGGGCCCCTGGGGTCCGGAATGGAGGGTGGAGCCACTGGACCTGGAGTGGGGAGGGGCTGGAGAAAGAGCCCCCAGGATCCATTGGTGTTCCAAAGTCCCCTGAGTTTCAGGTTCAGCTGATGTAGATACGGTGGAAGTCGTGGGCACCAAAGGCTGCGTTGCACTTGGGGCACTTCCTCTGGCGGGCCTCATATCGGCCCCGCACGCACTCGAAGCAGAAAACGTGGAAGCACTTGGTAAGGACTGCATCCTTCTTGCGGGTGTTACAGCAGGGGCAGGTCAACCGCGCCTGGGCCAGGCAAAGGCATCAGCTTGGGAACAATTCTGATGGAGCCCAGACCCCAAAATGACAGCAGGAGGTGGTCCAGACTAAGTCCATCATACAGCAGCCTGCATCTAATCCTTACCATAACCATGGGAGGTAGGGAATGAGCACTCTATGAATGAGGAAACTGAGGCTCAGAGGCCAAAGTCTCAAAACTACACAGTAGCAGAGTCCGGAGTGTATCCTGGGCACTGTTGGGCATCCTGTGTTTCCCTCCTCTCAAGTATAAGGACCCACCAGCCCAGCTTAGACTCTTCTGCCCTGAAGCTTCATCTCTTGCCCCACTGGTCTTCTCTAGCCAAAACCCAATCCTGTCTACCTTATGTTCGTCTGCATCTGCTAAGTCACAGCTAGGCATGACAGTACCACTAGAAATCTGCTATCTCTACCCTCAATGGGGCCCAGCCCTGGTGCTGCCCAGAGACCCTACTGTGGGTCCTCTCTTAGCCTGAGACCTCCCATCTGCCACCAGAAGGGTCTCACCGGCCAAGTCCAGGCAGGAATTGCCTCAACTCAAATCCCAACATTCCTCTTCTGGCCTGCCTGAAATCCCAGCCCAGCTCACCCTTCAGCAACCTCCCAACCCCCTTCCTGCCTTTCTCAGGACCCCACCCATCAGCATGAACAGGTCCCAAGTCTGCTGCCTCTTTGCCCCATAACTGCCTCCCCAGCTACCTCTGCCCTTCAAGGCCCGACTACTTCAAAGGGTTATCTGATTACTGACTCACCCACACCCCCTCCTCACTCCAGTGGTTGAGAGTACAGGTGACCTGACCTCCACCATCACCCCTGCACAACAACCATTCCCACCAGTACTGCCAAGTCCAAGGGGCACCTCTCATGGCTCCGTGTCCATTTGCCTTCTCCCCCATCAACTCCTTCAATATCACTCTCCCTCCTCCCAACCCATAGGCTCCTCTTCCTCTGCCTGTCACTTAAACTTTGAGGTTCTTGAGGAAGAATGAACCCTATCCCTTCTTATGCCAGACCCTCCCTGGGTGACCACAGTCATATGTGGCTTCCATCTCTGCCTCTACTGACACTCTCTAAGCCTTCTGCCCTGAGTGCCTTCCCACACAGCCTTGCAAGATGTCCCACAGGCACCTCCCTGTCAGAATCCTTGAACACTGTCCATCAAAACCTGCTCCTGGCAGTTTTCCTAACTCACTAAATGGTAGTTGTCACCCACCTATTTTCTCAAACCAAGATCCAGGAGTACTCCTAGTTCCTGTTCCCTTCCTGCCTGCATTCAATCTATCCCTGAGTCCAAGCAATTCTGCTTCCAGAATATCTGCTGAACCTATCCACTTGTCTCCAATACCTTAAGCCAGCAAAATACCAGTTTTTGCCTCAATAACTACAATAGCTTAATCATTTCCCTCCCCCTAGCCTTTACCTCTTCCAGCCCAGACCCAACAGCAAATCTGACATCACTCTCCTGCTTAAAACTCTCTGAAGTCTCTACACTGCCCATGGGATAAGTGGAGCTTCTCAACCTGGCTTACCACCCACTTTAGGATGTGACACTCCAACCATATGCCTGGCTCACTGTCCTTCCAGCATACCTCCCAACTCAGGACTTCCACACCCGCCTTTCCCTGTGCCTGAGCCCTCATTCTTCAGTATGCCTTGGGTGACATTCTTTCCAGGAAGCCTGCTGGCACCACCCACCCACCCTAGGCCTGCTTTCAGGGCCTCCTCTGAGTTTCCACAGTCCCTCTGGCCTCTGCTGTCACATTACTCCTCTGGAATGAGAGAATTACTTGGCTGCCTCCCCTAACTGATGGTCAGTTTGAATAGGTCAGAGACCAGGTCTAGCTCTTAGCCCTTCTGCCCCACATCTGGCCAGGCACTGTGCCTGGTACATGGTATGTGTACAATAAATACTTGATCAGTTATATGACTACAACCAGCGTTCTGCCCACTTTTTGCTATCCTACCTTATTTCTAGGGTGCCCAGACTATCCACTATGATTCACACCAACCCCTCATCTAATATTCCTGGGTTGATGGGGTACAACTCAGCCCCCTGGCCCCACCTTGTACTCCTTGATCTCCTCCTGGAGGATTTCATCAGCATCTGCATAAACCTCCACCTTCCTCTGCTTCTCCAGCTTGCGCCGCAGCCGTGAGATGTCCTCCTGGGGCAGGAGAGGTTAGGCTAAGTGTAACAGTCCTCGAACTGCTTGCCCCCAGGCCATGTCAGTGACCCTGGACCACCCTGGCCTACTCCCACCCCCCCACACACCTGAGCCCTCTTGAGGTTGAAGCTCTCTTTCTCTCGAGCAGCCCGACTCTCTGCCAGGCAGGGCTGAATCTCTCGCAGTCGAGTCTGCACATGCTCCAGCTGCACCTTGAGGTCCTCAGCCAGCTGGGCTGCTTCAACAGCCTGAAGTGGGTGGGAGAAGGAGGAGGGGCATCACTGGTCTGAGCCTAGGGACTCAGGCACATGGAGCCTTGGTCCAGTGATGCTTGTATCAAAGGTTCCAGTGCTATCTGCACCAGGCTGGTCTTGCTTCCTTCCCTATAGCGCTCGCCTCCTTTACATAGCCCTCTAAAGTTCCTCCCCTGTGCAATGCTCGCCCTGGTTTCTGAGCCTTCACTGGGTGCTTCTCTGTGCTCCCCTCAATTCCTTAACACACATACAACTCCACCAGGGCTTAGCAAAAATGTCACCTACTGAGAGGTTCTCCTGTTTGTCTTTCATAGCACCTTAGTTTCCTTCATAAAACTTACTGACATCTGTTATAGTATTATTTTATTTGTGGGATTGCTGGCTGACTCTGCCTCTTCCAGCCTTGACTGGAAGGCAGGGATCCTCTTGTCTCCACAGCGATCAGCACAAGGCCCAGTACACAGCAGGGGCATGAAAAATACTGCCGAAATGAATAAAATAACTGGAAAAGAAAATAGCCCAATAGAGACAATAAGACGAAAATCATTGTTACTCTTAAGCCTCTGCCATAACTTAGATAATATTTATGTTTAATAAACTATGTGACAAGGACCATCATCCCATTTTTATAGCCAATGAAGGGTTAGGATGGAGGTCTTGGAGCCAAAATCCCAGCACCACTCTTTCTTTTTTTTTTTTGAGACAGAGTCTCGCTTTGTTGCCCAGGCTAGAGTAAGTGCCGTGGCGTCAGCCTAGCTCACAGCAACCTCAAATTCTTGGGCTCCAGCGATCCTTCTGCCTCAGCCTCCCAAGTAGCTGATACTACAGGCATGCACCACCATGTCTGGCTAATTTTTTCTATATATATTAGTTGGCCAATTAATTTCTTTCTATTTATAGTAGAGACGGGGTCTTGCTCTTGCTCAGGCTGATTCTGAACTCCTGACCTTGAGCAATTCGCCCGCCTTGGCTTCCCAGAGTGCTAGGATTACAGGCGTGAGCCACTGCCCCCGGCCCCCAGCACCACTCCTTCTCAAGCAAGTCAACTGACCTCCCCAAGCCTCAGTTTCCTTACAAAGATAAAACCCAGGTCAGGTGCGGAGGCTCATGCCTCTGGGAGGCCAAGGCATGAGGAAGGATCACTTGAGCTCAGTAGTTCAAGACCAGCCTAAGCAAGAGTGAGATCCTATCTCTACAAAAAAAATAGAAAAATTAGCCAGGTGTGGTGGCTCATGCCTGTAATCCCAGCTACTTGGGAGGCTGAGGCAGGAGGATCTCTGGAGCCCAGGAATTTGAGGTTGCAGTGAGATGCCACTGCACTCTAGCTGGGGTGACAGAAAAGAAAAGACAAAAACCATCTTGGTAGGATTACTGTGAGAATGAAATGTGACCAAGCACAGGGTCTGGCACATAGTAAACAATCAACACATGCAAACTGTTCTGGGAGAAGCAGCAGAGCCTAGCAGAGCCCCAGGCCAGCTGTAGAAGTGGGAGTGTTCCCCACTGGCCCATCCCTACCTTCCTCTTGTTGAGCTCCAGGGCTTGGCTGCGCAGTGTCAGCTCCTTCTCCACACCCCCGAGGCTGCCCTGCAAGGCTCGCTCCTTTTCCTCCAGCTTCTGCACGGTCAGCAGCTGGGCATCCACCTGAAGATGGCAGAAAACTCAGTGCTGGGAAGCCACAGCTTCGCCAGCTCCACCCTACATGCCAGGGACTACCATACCTGGGACTTGAGGCCAAGAACCTGCTCGCCCAGCTCATCCTTCTCCTCCCGCAGTAGCTTGTGAATCTGGTTGGCCTTGATTCGCTCTGACATCAGCTTAAAGTTGGCATCGTCCTTTTCCCGCAACTGCTGTAGCAGCCGCCCGTTTTGCTCCTGCATGTCCTCAAAAGCCTGACCTGTCACATCCATCTCTGACAGCAAAGCCTCCTCCTCCTGCAGCAAGTGGGCAAGGATAAGATGGAATGTGGTCGGTGGGCAGGATGGTCATGGGAACCATAGGAAAATGTGGCAAATCATACAGTGGATGCGGCCATCTAGATGCTACATCTGCCAGAGGCACCTAATAAGGTGTTAAGGGAATCCCAATGCTCAGAAACACGGGGACCAAAAGGGGGTTGCACCTGCTTGGTGGCACCCAACTTGCGCTGTAGGTGTTCTATCTGCTCCTCTGCCTGACGAATGCGCCGCAGGGCATCCTCATCTGCAATCTTCTTGCTCTCTCTTCGATCCCGCTCCTCCAATTCCCGGATTCGGCTTCGCAGCTCATCAACCTATAGTCATAAGAAGCTCTCTTGTCACTGCTTCCTGCTGACCTTGGGCTGTGGTCAGAATCCTGCAGGGCAGCCTCCCTACATGCCCCAAGAGCCCTACCTGCCCTCACCTCAGCCTTGGCCTTGCGTTCCGCTGCCATGAGCTGCACCTTATCCCGCTGTTCCTTGGGTGCTGACTTGTACATATCCAGCAGGAGCTTCATCTCTTTCTGGCTCTCCTGGGCCTTCCTGGCAGGGGGTACATGAGGAAGTCTTGGTAAGTGGGGCTGGAGGCCACTTGACAAGTGTAGGAAGAAGACAGGAAAAGGGCCTCACTTGAGCTCTGCTCGGAGACCCTTGAGGAGTTCTGACTCCTTCCTCTTGGCCTCTTCCACCTTGGCCTTCTCCCGATCAGCCCTTAAGAGAGTTGAGGCTACAGGTGGAGGTCCCAGGCCAGGTCCTTCTCGTTCCCGAAGCTCCCGCTTGGGCCTGGCTTCAGGTTCTCGACCCCGGGAGGAAGGGCCCTGCGCCCCAGGGGTTAATGCCTGAGCATCCTCTTCGGATGGGGCCTGCTCCTCCTTCTTCACTGAGGAAGGAGTAGCGGTGGTACCAGGCATTGAAGCCACCTCCTTTCTGCTGTCCGGGGTACCAGCAGGGCACGGCCCACCCTCCTCTTTCCCTGGGGCTGAGGCACTAAGGCCAGAGTCTTCTGGGTGTCCCATGTTGGGGACAGAGTGGGCAGAGCCACTAGCTTGGGCTCGGAGCTGCAAAGACAGAAAGGAACAGGGATGAGGTGAGACAGGGCTCACTGGAGTACAGTCAAGGCTTTTCCCAGGCAGCCTTTTCCTCACCTTGCCAATCTCAGCCTGCACTTCTCGAAGCTTCCGCTTATATCGCTGGGCATCCCCCTTCAGCTGGTGGTTGTGGTTTTGGAGACTACTGATCAGGTGGCGCATCTCACGGTTGATGGGCCCTAGTGTCATGAGGTAAGGGTGTCAGAACTAGTTCATGGGTTAGGGCTCCAACCTCTGAGTGGGGGAAGAGGCTAAGCCAGGGCCATTATTCCCATTATCCAGGAGGGGAAAACTAAGGCCTTATACTGAATGTGACCTCATCAAAGTCAATAATGCAGACTCAACAGAAACTCACCCCAAAATAACTTGACACTGCTTATTTGTATTATTTTTGCTAATGTAGATTTCCCCCCCAATATCTATATCTCTAAATTTCCTTTAAAGGAAATGATAACTAACATTCACAAAAGTTAGTCAACTTCTTTTAGATTCTTAAGTATCACCTTCTTAGTTACATTCCCTGGTCTCCCATCTGAAATTGCAAAACCTTTTTTCCTGGTGGCTCATATCTTCCTTTCTTGTTTTACTTTTCTTGGTGGCTAGAAAAGTACATTTTTTTCCCCTTTATTATCTGTCTTCCCCTGCTAGAATGTTGCTCCACATGGCAGGAATTCTTTGTTTTGTTCACTGGCACAACCCCAAAGATCAGAACAGAGCCTGGCTCATAGGTGGTGGTCAATAAATCTTTGTAAAATACCTCAAAGAGATATGACAAGGCCAGAGGACCACAAATGGGGCCAATAGCTTACGTTCTGGTTGTTCCTGTGTCATCAGCCACTTCAACTAGTTATGACCCTCACTACCTGTGAGCCAGAGAGTGCACTTTGCTTTCCACAGGGAGCTGAGGCTCCGTGAAAGAGGCTTCATCTCTTGCATTTAGACAAGCAGCTGTCCACACCATGACCCAGCACTCCCAGATAAGGACCCCCTCCACCCTATCCTCACCACATACCTGCCTGTTCGTTGGCTGCCAGGTTCTGCTCAAACTCGATGCGCAGCATCTCGTACTCCTTGCGTACCTGGGCCAGCGTGTCCTCTAGCTGGATAACTTCCGTGCGCAGCTTCTTCTGCAGCCCTAGCTCATCGCTCTGTGGGTTGAGGCATTAAGGATCCACACAACCTCTCATCACCACCTCAGGACTCAGTGTCTTAGGCAGAATCTATTCCCAAGAGACACCTAGCAGGCACACCAGGCCTCTGAAGCCCAGGGACGCCTTTACACTAAGGGTTGGGCTCTTACCCCCAGCCCCTACACCCCTAGCCCGTCCCAGAGCCATACCTCCATATGCTCAATGTGTCTCAGGTGGGAGTTCTTGGTGGCCAACAGTAGCCCCCGAGCCTCATCCAGCTGGGTCTTCACTTGCAGAGACTCATTGTAGAGCAGCGAGAACTGGGCCTGCAGCATGCGGTACTCCCCCGTCTCCCGCACCACCTCCTCAGGAAGGCTCCTCAGGGCCACCTGGGGGTTGGGATGCCAAAAAGAGATCAGTAAGAGAATTCAGGGCTCAGCCCCTACCTATAGGTGCAGGCCTCCTCAGCCCTAACCACAGCCCACCTTGAGACGCTCATTGGTTCGCACAGCACCCTGAAGTTCAGCCTGCAGCTTCTCCAGTTCTGCCATGCGGCTGTTGGCCAATTCTTGGTTTTCCTCCAACTCTGCATTCAGCATCTCAAACTAAGAAGTGGGAGGTGCTATGGTAGGCAGGCCCAGGTCCAGCAGCATGCTTCCCTCACATCCCCACATGTATTCCACCCAAGCTACCCTGTGTAGGGCGGGGATCAATTCCAAAACCCCAAACCAAGGGCTTTCCCAGGCAAGTGGGAGAAAATTCAATATTACATGGACAGTGCTGGGATCTAAGGCTCTTAAATAATAGGGAGTCAAGGAATCATTCCTGGAAGGCCTAAATAGCCAGTAAAGGTAAAACAGTGCATAGTGACCCCCAGAATGCCAATCAACTGTAACATATTCCCATTTCTCTCTCTCCTGTGCTTCTTTGTAGTACTCATAACCAACTGATGTACTATTTTGTCTGTTCTCCCAACTAGAACCTAAGCTCCATGGAAACTTTGTTTGATTTTTATCTATCTTGTTCTTTCCAATATGCCTAGTGCTTATTTCTAGCACTTAGTGTTCAGAAATTATTTACTAAACAAGTACATGAATGTATAAAAAATAAAGAACAGCAGGAATGACAGGGAAGGGCCTTGGAGGTGGATGTTTATCCTTCATCTTTAGAGGAATTACAAGGGTACAAGAGAGAAAAGGTTACGGGAGGGATGGGGAGGAATGCCGCGGCTCACCTTCTGCATGCTGAGTGTGATCTGGCCACCCTGGAAGCCTGAGGAGCTCCCAGAGACATAGTAGCCAGAGTTAAGCTGTGGAGAGAAGACAGTTGACGGATATGAAGACAGTTGACGGAGAAGATATGGCCCTGAGTAGCCAGCCCTGGCTCCATGTACCCCAGAACTCCAACCCCACCTGCTCCAAGGCTTCTGCCAGATGCTTATTGAGCTTTTGCTCCCGCTTGCGCAGCTTCTCAATGTCCCACTGCAGGTCCTCCACCGTCGTCTCCATCTCCAGCACCTTGGTCTCTGCTGATGTCACTTTATCCTGGAGCTCAGAGTACTGGGGGGAATGGAGAGAACAGATGCTTGGATAGAAGACCTGGTTCCCTGAGATCCTTGGGTGCCCATCTAACCCAAACGCTGCCCTGGTTCTAATCCCACCCTAAAAGCCCCTGACTCCTACCTCCAATGAGATGCGGTGATGCTTCTCCTGCAGCTGGGTGGCCAAGTCCTGTAGCCGCCGGTTCTCACGGCCCAGCTCCCGGGTGCGTGCCCGAGCCACCTCACCGAGGGGCTCATTTTCCCCTGGAAAGGCAGGGCTCAGGTAAGAGACAAACTCAGGGAAACAGGGCCAAAACTAACTCATGATGGAGTCTGCTATGTGTCCAGTGTAATCCACGAGCTATTTAGCCAGGAGTTTTTATCCCCACTGTATAGAGGACAAAACCAGCTCAGAGAGGGGAACCATTTGCCCAGAATGCCCCAGGTAGGGTAGTAGAACTAAGACTGGGAGAAGCCTGTCAACCTACAAAGCCTGAGCACTTGCTACTCTGCCTTGTGGATCCTCTACTTGCAAAAAGTGCTCCAGAGTGGTCTCTAGCTAGTAGGGGGAGGCCCTACCAGCATCAACAACTTGTCCAGGCTGGGTGCGGTGGCTCACGCCTGTAATCCTAGCACTCTGGGAGGCCGAGGCAGGTGGATTGCTCGAGGTCAGGGGTTGGAAACTAGCCTGAGCAAGAGCGAGACCCCATCTCTACTATAAATAGAAAGAAATTAATTGGCCAACTAAAATATATATAGAAAAAATTAGCCGGGCATGGTGGTGCATGCCTGTCGTCCTAGCTACTTGGGAGGCTGAGGCAGCAAGATCGCTTGAGCCCAGGAGTTTGAGGTTGCTGTGAGCTAGGCTGATGCCACGGCACTCACTCTAGCCTGGGAAACAAAGTGAGACCCTGTCTCAAAACAAAAAACAAAAAAAAAACAAAAACTTGTCTAACTCATCTCTCTAGAGTTCAACTTCAGGAATCAAAGCCCCATCTAACCCCTATCTAACCCATTCCTCCAAGAACATGGCTGACTTATTCCTTGGCGAATTATGGCTTTGGACTCAGGAAATTAGAAGAATTGGGGAAGCAGTGCCATACAGATGTAGATGGGGATGGCCACCCCTGGGGTGGAGGCACAAAGAACTAACCTCGGCTGTATACTCGCTGACAGAGTTCCTCCACCCGGCGCTGTAGGCGGTCTGAGGCCTCTACTACACGGGACACAGCTGCCTTGGAGAACTCCATACGGCCTTGCAGCTGCAGCTCTACCTCCTCACTGCTGCTGGCACCCAGTGCTACCACAAAAGCCAAGGCTGGCTCACTGAGAGGGGGCCGCAGCTGCATTGGCAGAGGCTCTGGGAAGGATGGACAGATCTTCATCAGGATAACAGCAGCAGTTACCACCACTCTATACCAAGTTCCAGACTTCCACATTCGTGAGTTAATCAACACAACCTGTGGTGCACCGTTATCCCCATATTGAAAGTGAAACAACTGGAATTCAGAGGGGCAATGCCCTTAAGGCTATACAGCTGCCAAATCGCTTCCTCAGGGAAGCCTCCTCTGCCTTCCCAGGCTAAATTAGAAACACACACACATGTGCTCACACATTTATTCCCTTTCAGGGGCCCCAACACTTTTTATGTATTATGGTTTATAATCATTTCCTCCCTGATAGCAGGAACAATATTTCTTTCTGCTTGTCTTCAATTTCTCTGAATCTAGAACAATGCCAAATACATAGTCAGCATTCAATAGTAATACTTTCTTAAACAAAATGGGTATCAAAACATGAACTGCACTATGAACCGAATTAGTCAGATTCCAAAGCCTGTGTCCTTACTTACCGCACTTTGCCACCCAAACAAGAAATCAGTGGCGGCAGGGGCGGACGGTGTAGAGTAAAGAGAGAAATTCTGGTGCCCAGTATCACAGTTCTCCCCAGGACCTTTCCCAAAACTTAAGCTCCCCATATCCTAGGGCCGTGATCCTACCCCTCAGCTCTGATGTCCCTGGCTCTGTGAAAGGGGTCCCATCACGTGTTGGCCCCTCCTGGGTCCCAGGTGCCTCTGTCCCCGAAGACAGCTCTCCCTGGCTCTCATGGCATCGGAGAAGGGCTTCCACAGTTTCATCCAGCTGAAAAGAGAAACCATCAAAAATGTTATGAATCCCTCAGTGCTTTCCAGTATAATATTCCTTTCTCAGCAGGGTAATCTGAGGATTGACAGCTGAATCAAGGCCAGGTCTTGGAAAGCAGAGGGCATCCACCTGGGCCCAGTAGCGATTGACAATAAGGAGTGTGGCATCATCTGTGGCCTGCCGCTTCTCCAACTTCTCAATTCGTTCTCGGAGTTCATCTTCACAAGCCTGTCGCTGTTCCAACCGCTCTGCCAGCTTCTTGTTTTTGAACTGCAGTACCTTCAGGTCCATCTCCTCCTAGCAAAGGAAACAAAAGGGCTGAGAGAAGGGTCAAGCAGGGCCCAGAAACCAGTCATTGAGAGAGAAAGAGGAGAGCAACTGGAATGGATGGAAGATGGGGGGATTCCCAGATTAACTCCTAAAAGAATTTAAGGAAGCTCAGACACCCCAGCAAAAGCGAGAAGCCCATGTTCTGCTTCTACCTGGCCCTTTCTAACTCCTTAATCTTTGACAAGTCACTCTCTCCCTGGGAAAATGTTTTACTATCTGCAAAGAGAAGGCAGACGTCGTGTTTTCGGTTTCCTACAACAGTGTTCTGTAAATCGGACCTTGCTATGCTTGTGGAACTGGGAGTAAGACTCTGGACAGTTGGGGGGAGAACAGAAACAAAAGTCCGACAAGTTCTAAGGGATAGGGCAAGAGCCCACGAACCGTGGAAGAGATGCCTCCAAGACGAATAGGCTCTATAAGAGTGGTTGTGGTCTTCTCCTCGCGACTCAGCTTTTTCTCTGGGGGCCCTGAGCCCCCGTCGCCGGCGGCGCGTTTGTTGCCGGGCCCAGACATGGCCGCGGCAGCAAGGAGCGGCGCAGGGTCCCGCAGGGGCGTCAGGCGGGAGGAGACGGCGCTTCCGTCACCTTCAGAAGACGTAGAGCAGAGATGTGGAAGCGGCCGGCGTTCCACAACCCCCAACTCCGCCTGCCCCGCACACACCTGCTGGATCCCGCCCCCTCCGGCCCCAGGGCCCTCACCCGCAGTAGGGTCAGCCTAGTGCCGCCATCTTCGATTTCCCCGGACGTCACCGGCCTCCCGGGCGCAGAGCGCAGGCGCCAGAGGCAGAGGCGGATGTGGCGAAACCTCCTTATCTCCTGATCCTATTGGTCACGTTTGGTCCCACCTCCTGAGCCATTTGGTTTTTTTCCCCCCCCCCCGAACACCTCCTTTTTCCTTCGGTGATTGGCCAGTAAACAGTTCCCATGGTAACTGACACCGCACACCCACTTTCCAGCTCAGAGGACAGCGCCAACCTCCTGTTAGCAACTTTGAAGAGAGGGCACCCAGGTGGACACTCGTAACTTATTACGAATGCGCGTTCTCTTCTCACTGATTGGCGCGCGCCTGCACTTTCTTCCTTCCTTCACAAGCACCCTAGCAACCGTCACCGTTGAGACGGAGGGAGACGCGCCCCGCGGATTGGCTGCGCGCAGCCTCTCTGCCGCGCGGATTGGCTGCTGCGCGGCTAGGGCCCGGCCTTCGCAGTCGCTGCCGGAGAACCGGCTGCCCCAGACCCGAGGCGGGACAGAGCCTGTGGAGACCCGCGACACGAAAGAGCGACAAAATGATCAGCCAGAGAAGCAACCAATGCCTGCGAGTAGGCATGCAGTTGGAGCCTGAGGAGCGCTCCGAACTGCGGCAGGAATCAGGGAAGATCAGCTCTGTGTGTGGGTCGGCCACACGGACCGGAACAAGCGTGCGGACTGAGTCGGCAACGGCGGCCTCGGCCTCCGGGGAAGTGGATGAAGATCCTGGAGCCAACCTGTTCCCGGTGAGGACGGAACAAACTGGTCCGCTCATGAATATTTATAAAAGGGTTTCCCTGCATGGCGCCACCGTCATCATGTTTATTAACACACGAGACATTTCCCGGGCTGCCTAGGTGAAAAGAGGTAGGGGGTGTGTGGCTCTGATTGTTAACATGCTTATGAATAGTACTCAGGGCCTGCTGAAGCCCAGCCCCGCCCGAGTTGCTCCTACGTAGTCCTCGAGTTGACTGGCAAGTTATAGCGCGTTATCAGGCCCGCTGGACATTCGCGACAGGCCAGGGACAGCACAGCTCTGCCTTCCCCAATCCGCTTTCTCTCCGCAGCCGCCGCTGCCCCGACCCCGGATCTGCATGTGGTGAGTGTGAAGAGACTTGAGGAAAATTACACTTCACACTTGCATTATTCCTTTAGTGCCTAACAGTCCTGTCCTGTAGCCAGGGCATTCCCGTTTTACAGATAAGGAGACTGAGGCCCAGACATGCAATTACTCAAGGTGGCTAGAAGCCAGCTTTCCAGCCTCTCTAGTCTAAAGAGGAGGCCATGTGAGAAGACAGCCAGAGTCTGAGGTGTAAATGGAATATTATAGTCACCATGGATTCATGTACAAATGGGGACACTGAGGCCCACAGGGGTGGCAGGGGGACTTGACCAAGGTCATACAGCAATGTAGTGGCAGAACAAGGAAAAGAACTCAAGATTCCTCACCCTAGGCTTTATAAATGGAGAGGATCGTAAGAGTTCATTTAGATTCAGAAAGGTAAACAATTTCCCTGAGGTTATGCAGCAAGTTGGTGAAAAAGCCAAGCTTCAAACTCAGATCTCCTGATTCCCAGTCAGATGCCCTAGCCATCACAGCCCTGTCATGAGACTAATGTATAAAGACCACTGATACTTTTTCTTTTCTTTTCATATGCCAGGAAGTACCTGGACATCCATTCCATGCACCGGCTGGAGAAGACGGCCAACGTTGAGGAGATGAGGGAGTAGGGACTGAGCAGGGAGAAGAGCTCTTGGGGAAGGCTGAGGGGGGTGGGTTGAGAAGACATGAGGAATGGCAGGCTCCAAAGCATGTGCTGGGTGGGGTGTGATGAAAGGAGGCTCCTGTTGTCATTCACTCCTTCCTCTCTCTCTCCTAAGGGTGCTGGCTGAGCTGTTAGAGCTAGGCCATCCTGAGCAGAACTTGCGGGATGCTATCACCCTGGACCTCTTCTCCCACGCACTCATCTTCTGCCGCGAGCAGGGCTTCTCACTGGAGCAGACATCAACGGCTTGTGCCATGCTCCAAGATCTTCACAAGGCCTGTGTTGGTGAGAGGGAGGCAACTACCAGAAGGTTTGAGCCCCAGGGAGAGAAGGAGGTTGGGCTGGCACAAGTGACCATGGGAAGCAGAAGTAGTGAGAATACCACCTGGGACCTTTGTCATTACTACACAAGCATTATTATACATTACTACACAAGCATTATCACATACAAGTTATCATCTTTAAAATCCTGTTTCCATATCTATAAATTAGGGATATAGCACTAATGTTATGGAACTGTTCTTAGAAATAATGTGCTTAATAAAATTGCTCCTGCTTCCCCTCCCCCACCCCTTTTATTCTCCATCTGATTTTATTCATGTTAAACAATAGCTGAAATTATACATTTCTTGGTTTATTGTATGTCATTTTCACTAAAATAAAGCTTCATAAAGGCAGGACCTTGTCTGTCTTGTTCAGTGCTTAAAACAGTATATAGTGGCCACAAAGTATTTGTTAAATGAACTAATGTAACTAGCCAAGACTTAAACCTACATCTGTCCACCTTGGAAGCTCATTCTCCATAAGTAGCTATTGAGTGAAATGAAGGAATGAGTAAGAGAGGGGACTCACTGCTGCATCTTGCTTTCCCTACCAGCAACCCCCTTGGGCAACGTGGAGGAATGCTACCGCTACTTTACCAGTGTTCTTTTTTGCCATGGAGTCAGGGTCAGTTCCCCTGGAACATTCCAAAACCTTCACCCTCCCCCAGGCAAGGTCTACCCCAATCCCCTGAACTCTCACACTCATCACCCTCATCTTCCTCTAAAGGCCACAGTAGGCTCTCCTTGATCCTAGATTGTTGGGCTCTTGGAGAAAGGCCAGGGAGGGCTTCAGGGAGTAGTCAGTACTGTAACACCCAGTCATCACCACAGCGGCCCCCCTTCAGCATTGACCTATTTAAGGAGGAACAGCTGCTGGCCCTGGCAGACTATGTGGTCAACACCTACTTCCGCCACTTCAAGCTCTACAAATATGTCTTCACACCCCAGGTAACAGACCATGGACTACAAGAGGCCACTCCTCATCTCCTCCTTTCCCTCAGTGCAGGTGCCCTCCTCTTAGCATCTGTCCTCTTTTCCCAGGTACGGCTGGATCTATCTTTGACTTATATGGGGCTACAGCCACCCAAGCTCTGGCCAGAGGGTAAGATGGGTAAGGTAGAGTGCCAGGGCTGGGGCTGGGCTGAGGTTGTTGCCAAGGCCTCTTCCTGCTTCTGGCTTGCAGACAAAGAAGAAAGCAAGGAGGTGGTGGAGCAGGCAGTCACCCCACGGGAAGAGGAGCTGGAGACAGTGGCCCAGCCAGAGCAAGAGCCAAGTGAGGATCTGAGGGGTTATGGTACCTGGTGACTCTGGGCAGGGGTAAAATGAAGGGTTTAGATCACATCAGGGCTTCAGAATTTTTTTTAGTCATGTTGTCTCTTCTCCAAACAATTCTTTATGCAAAAGTCCAAGATGACAAATACATTAAAGAACAGCTGCTAAGGGTGGGGCAGAAGAGGTAGCTCCAGAAAGAGGATAATTAGAAAACCAATGACAATAATAGCCAGCACATACTTGGCAACAGGTGCACCAGGCATGCATTGTTTTAAGCATTTTACATATATTAATTTATTTAATCCTCCTTCAATACTATTTGCTAGGTGTCATTACTATCCACATTTTACACAAGAAAACTGAGGCATGGAAAGGTTAAATAACCTGCCTAAGGTCATATAGCTACTAAGTGGCAATCAGAATTTGAATCCAGAAGGTCCAGCATAGCTACTCTGCCCAACTGTGTCTCACAGAAGGGCCAGCTGACATTTCCTAATTTACTTTTTTATTTTTTAAGAGACAAGGTCTCACTCTGTCACCCAAGCTCTGGAGTAGTAATTTGATTATAGTTTACTGCAACCTTGAACTCCTGGGCTCAAGGGATCCTCCCACCTCAGCCTCCTGAGTAGCTAGGACTATAGATGCATGCCACCACCATGCTCAGCTAATTTTATTTATTTATTTTTGTGGAGATAGAGTCTTGCTATGTTGCCCAGGCTGGTCTCAAACTCCTGGCCTCAAGCAATCCTCCTGCCTCAGCCTCCCAAAGGGCTGGAATTATAGGCATGACCCCTACACCTGGCCAACATTTCCTAAATTGAAACTTGGCCACCTACGTATCTCTCCAGGGGCACTTTGGGGTTTGGGCACACTCATCCCCATACAGCATCTCTCCTGATCTGTCCTTTTTTTCCCTGCAGGCCAGATCCACATCCTCCAAACGTATATCAAGACCCAACTGAACAAGGAGCTGGGGCAGCTCCAACACCTGGTAGAGGAGAGGCTCAAGGCCAGTGAGGAAAGACTCAGCAGCAAGTTGACTGCACTAGAGCGGCCCTTCCAGCTACCTCTGGCTAAAGGCAAGAACAAAACTAAGTGATCCTCAGCATTTTCCCCAATAAAGGCCTGGGCCAGAGCAGCCACATCCCTGTCCCCACCCTGACTACCTTTCTGGGCTTCCCTGACCTAGCCAGACACCAGACACAGGGCACCCACTCTTCCTGGCGTGCAGCAGATTTATTTCATACACAGCACAGGCAACACTGACAGAACCAGGCATGGCATTTGGAGTGGCTCCCTTCCACCCCAATTCTGATCTGAAAGCCCTGGCTGGCAGGGGGAGGAGTACAGGGCTGGTCTGTATGATAGTAGCATGATCAGCGGTGGGCCTGGTTAGGCAGAGGAGCCTGAGGCCAGAGCCTAGAGGGGTCGGAATGATCAAAATCCTTCTCCTAGAGAGTCCTGCTTTCTGGGATTCCCCAAGGGCTGAGGTCCTAGCCCAACACCATTGCAGCTTCATCCTCAGTTATGGTAGTTGAGTTCCCATCCTCTTCGGGGCCCATGACGGGAAAAGGCCCAGGGGGCCGGTGCTGAAAGAGGGCCGCTCGGTTCTGCTGCTCGCCCTTCTTCACCCAGTGCCCATAGAGCCGGAAGGCACAGTTGTCGATGAGGCGACGCACTGACCGCAGTGCGTA